GAGAAAATATTATTTCAGTTGATAAGGTAGATTTCAAATTTCGTAGAGATTTTTTTTGAGTGAATGCCTCAATGCTTTTAAGGGCTGGAGAGTATATGCGATGACGATGGCTCTATTGTGCTTAACTTATCTTTAAAACTTCTGACTTTTCTTTTCTTTGATACCACATAAATAAATTTAAAAGAAAAAAAACCAGCATTGTGGTGCTCCTGGGTGGCTCAGGAGGGCTCCCAGCTTAATTGACTGGCTCAGGTCATGATCTCATGGTTTGTGAGTTCGGGAGCCCCGTGTTGAGCTCTGTGCTGACGCTCAGAGCCTGGGCCTGCTTCAGATCTCTGTGTCTCCCTCGCCTTCTGCCCCTCCCCCACTCATGCTCTGTCTCTCTGTCTCAAAATAAGCATTTAAAAAAAATATATTTAAAAAAAACGGCATTGTATAGATTTTCACCTCTTTGGCTAGATTTATCCCTAGGTATTTTATGGTTTTTTGGTGCAATTGTAATTGGGATCGATTCTTGATTTCTCTGTCTGTTGCTTCATTATTGGTGTATATGAGTGCAACCGATTTCTGTGCATTGATTTATATCCTGCAACTTTGTTGAACTCATGGATCAGTTCTAGCTGTTTTTTGGTGGAATCTTTTTGGATTTTCCATATAGAGTATCGTGTCATCTGTGAAGAGTGAGTTGACCTCCTCCTTGCTGATTCGGATGCCTTTTATTTCTTTGTGTTGTCTGATTGCTGAGATAAGACTTCCAATACTATGTTGAATAACAATGGTGAGAGTGGACACCCCTGTCTTGTTCCACAACCCAGGAAAGCTCTCAGTTTTTCCACATTGAGGATAGAGAGGTGGTCTTTCATATAGGGCTTTTTTATGGGTCTTGAATCTTTCCATCCCTACTTTCTTGAGGGTTTTATCAAGAAAAGGATGCTATGTTTTACTACATCAAATGCTGTCTCTGCATCTATGGAGAGGATCATGTGGTCTTGTCCTTTGTTTATTGATGTGATATGTTACATTTATTGTTTTGCAGTTATTGAACCAGCCCTGCATCCCAGGTATAAATCCCACCTGCTTGTGTTGAATAAGTTTTTAATGTATTGTTGGATCCAGCTAGTATCTTGTTGTTTTGCATCCATGTTCATCAGGAAATTGGTCTGTAGTTCTCCTTTTAGTGGAGTCTCTGCCTGGTTTTGGAATCTAGGTAATGCTGGCTTCATAGAAACAGTTTGGAGGTTTTCCTTCCATTTCTATTTTGGAAGAGCTTCAAGAGAATAGGTGTTAACTCTTCTTTAAATGTTTGGTAGAATTCCCCTGGGAAGCCATCTGGCCCTGGACTCTTGTTTTTTGGGAGATTTTTGATTACTAATTTGATAGTTTCTTTTACTGGTTGGGTCTGTTCAAATTTCCTATTTCTTCCTGTTTCAGTTTTGGTAGTTTATATGTTTTTAGGAATTTGTCCATTTCTTCCAGATTGCCCATTTTATTGGCATATAATTGCTCATATTCTCTCATTATTGTTTGTTTTAAAGAAGAGTTAACACCTATTCTCTTGAAGCTCTTCCAAAATAGAAATGGAAGGAAAACCTCCAAACTGTTTCTATGAAGCCAGCATTACCTAGATTCCAAAACCAGGCAGAGACTCCACTAAAAAGGAGAACTACAGACCAATTTCCCTGATGAACATGGATGCAAAACAACAAGATACTAGCCAACTGGATCCAACAATACATTAAAAACTTATTCACCACAAGCAGGTGGGATTTATACCTGGGATGCAGGGCTGGTTCAATAACTGCAAAACAATAAATGTAACATATCACATCAATAAAACAAAGGACAAGACCACATGATCCTCTCCATAGATGCAGAGACAGCATTTGACAAAACATAGCATCCTTTCTTGATAAAAACCCTCAAGAAAGTAGGGGATGGAAAGATCATACCTCAAGACCCATAAAAGCCCTATATGAAAGACCTACCCCTAATATCCTCAATGTGGAAAAACTGAGAGCTTTCCCCCTAAGGTCAGGAACAAGACAGGGGTGTCCACTCTCACCATTGTTATTCAACATAGTATTGGAAGTCTTAGCCTCAGCAATCAGACAACACAAAGAAATAAAAGGCATCCGAATCAGCAAGGAGGAGGTCAAACTTTCACTCTTCACAGATGACACGATACTCTATATGGAAAATCCAAAAGATTCCACCAAAAAACAGCTAGAACTGATCCATGAGTTCAACAAAGTTGCAGGATATAAAATCAATGCACAGAAATCGGTTGCACTCATATACACCAATAATGAAGCAACAGACAGAGAAATCAAGGAATCGATCCCAATTACAATTGCACCAAAAAACCATAAAATACCTAGGGATAAATCTAGCCAAAGAGGTGAAAAATCTATACAATGCCGTTTTTTTAAATATATTTTTTTAAATGCTTATTTCTGAGACAGAGAGAGACAGAGCATGAGTGGGGGAGGGGCAGAGAGCGAGGGAGACACAGAATCTGAAGCAGGCCCCAGGCTCTGAGCCGTCAGCACAGAGCTCAACACGGGGCTCGAACTCACAAACCATGAGATCATGACCTGAGCCGAAGTCAGTCGCCCAACTGAGCCCTCCTGAGCCACCCAGGAGCACCACAATGCTGGTTTTTTTCTTTAAATTTATTTATGTGGTATCAAAGAAAAAGAAAAGTCAGAAGTTTTAAAGATAAGTTAAGCACAATAGAGCCATCGTCATCATATACTCTCCAGCCCTTAAAAGCATTGAGGCATTCACTCAAAAAAATCTCTACGAAATTTGAAATCTACCTTATCAACTGAAATAATATTTTCTCAACACAAGTTTCAAAATGTATATAAGGCTTAATTTCTCAACTTCTAGTTTTTAACCAATACTTTTTTTTTTTTTTACTATTTCCCACTGAAAATACAGAATATTTTCATCCATTTGTATTGTGTGACTTGGAACTTTACTCCCTGTTTTCAAAGTTGAAGGGAAACAAAAGCAAAAATAATCAGGACCACATCAAAATAAAGATTTTGCAGCCTAAAGGAAACAATCAACGAAACAAAAAGACAACCCACTAAATAGGAGAAG